AAATATTAAAAAAGGAATAATAAGTGGATTGGAAAAATCCCAAACCAAATTACAAACATAGAGAGAGAACCTATAAAGAGAAATGAATATTAGTGCCTTTAACAGCAGCTCATTAAATAAGTAACACTCATCATGAGAGCATTAGAAAAAGTAATGACAATAAATTTTAAAGAGAGAAAAGTTGCATTTTATTTATTATTAAGAAAAAAGAAAAATGATGGTTAAGAAGATAAATTGTCAAATTGATTAAATATAGAGAAAATAATAGTCGTGATATATTTATGTGATACACAAATGTATGTGATAAGTTTTATGCCATTTACACATTTTTTTTAGAGATATTTATATTTTCAAATTTTATTAGTTTCTTGTGTTCGCATATGATAACTCCAATTTAAAGAATTTCATAATTATAATTTTCGTTTTTCTTCAACCAGTCAATTACATTATATAATTTGGAGTCTTCATCAAAGTGGGGCTTTAGACAATCACCTATAGTTAGGGCTGGCCTGAACTCGGTCTAAAAGCAATATAACTCTTGTTTGGTGGAGATCAGATCTTTAGCAGATTTTTATAAAAGTTGATAAAATGTATTATTAAAAAGTTGTGGATCTTATGAAATATGTGATTAAAATTAATTATTAACTTTAATTTAAATTAAAATTTAGATTTTCATCACTACCACTGATGAAGGATTTCTTGAAAAGTTTAAAATTAGTAATATTTTTTAGAAATAGAATGAATTTGGTCTNTCTGTGAAGCCGATAATAGACTAAATAACTAAATAAATACCGTTAGAAGTATCTTTACTACTCAATGAATTGAGTTCGTTCTTTCTTTTATCACTTAGGAGTCGTGTGAGACGAAAGTCTCATGAACGGTTTTGAAGGAGAGAAAGAAGTGAGGAATCATCTTTTCGACTCAAACTTTGCTTTTCTTTCTGTTACTTTGAGGGGCTTAATATTAAAGTAAATAATTCATTTGAGGTCTCATCTAGTTATTTTGTTTTTGAGTTCCAGTGTCTAAGATATTTCGAACATCATTATCTTTCAAAAAATATTAAATTAAGAGTTGGAAAGTTTTGCTAATCAAGAAGCACTTTCTAAGCTTTAGTGCTTTTTGGCTTTGTTTTTAAGAGTTCGTTTCCAAAGAAAATGTTACATTCGAGGAAAATGAATTCCACTTTGGTCATTTAATTGCATCGTGAAAATAAAAATCGAATTTCAAGGTACAGCCACTTTAAACTACATTTTCTTTGTTTTCATGAAAAACGAATCCGTATGGGTTTGATGGATTTTTATTTTCCAACTAACATAGAATTGAAATTCCTTTCCACATTTACCTATCAAACGGACCCTAAGTGTTTATCAGCCGTGAATTTCAAATAATCTATGGTGAAAAATATATAAGAGTTGTAGATTTCAAGGAATGTAACAAGAAGCTTTTTGGGCGAGATATTTACATATTCACCATATCATGATCGTCATTATTTATATGATGAGGGATTAGGAATATAATTAAGTTACCATTTCTTTTCCTTTATGTTGAAATCACAATTTCATAGGGAAATTCACTCTTTTATTCTTTTTCCCTTTTCGGTAATTGTCCCAATTTTGAATTTCATTAATGGTGCGTTTGATTGTCAACATTTTTTTTATGGAAAAATATGTTTTTTCCATCCAAATTCCTACTTTTATACTATTTGATTAACATTTTTCCATGGAAAACATTTTTCTACTCTTGATCATGTGACCATATTTTGCACAAAATCAAGGAAAATATTTTCTTTAAGGGGATTAGGATTTTATTTTCAAGGGAATTCACTATCTCTTTCTCTCTCTTATCTATCCATTTTCTTTCATTCACAAACCAATAAAAAATGGACAATTGTGATATTTTCTAGATTGAAAACTAAATCAAACACATTTAATTAATAATTTCCATACAAATAAGTTCTAAACAATTGAATTGACTGAAATTTATTTTTTTTCATGCAAATTTCATGCTCGCACTCCAACTTTAGAAGAAGCCGCCGCCTCCTCCTCTTCCTCCTCCTCCTTTTTCCGAATTTTATTTAATAAGCAAAAGGAAAACAGTTGTCAAAAGCATGAAGAGAGTCGAAAGTCTGCTTTGCTTTATCACTTTTAGTTTTGAAGAAAGGATATCGTACAATATTTGTAATTTTTATATGAAGAAAATAAACAAAACTTAGATTACTTTTCAAGACTAACAACTATTATTATCTAATAGTTCAAGTATAAAATTTAAATGAAAGTTTTCAAAGTGGATATGTATGAAAAAGTATTCATGAAACATTTATATGTTTGACGTTTCCGATACCTAGAATTACGTCTTTTTTACTTCAATTAAACATTTGACGCAGGCTTAAAAAAATTAAATTAAATTAAATTAAAAGATTTTAATTTCTGTAACATTTTGAACGTTGAAAAATCCGGAAGTGTACGCTATCGCAAACAAGTAATGAAAAAATGTGTAGGATCAATTAATTATATCTCTAATCGAATAGCAAAACTTGTTCGAATTTATCTAAATTAACTATTTAAACTAACTATTCTAATCATCAAATTATGAAGGGTTTTGTAAATTTAGATGGGATGATTATTAAGACATCGAATCTCCCTTATTAATCCATTTCAATGCAATTAAATAATATGACAATATGTGCATATTCTTGTTAATCAATATTATTAAGTTAATTAGAAGTCTCTCTTGATAACTATTAAATATATATATATGAAAGATGCGAACATGAAATGTCGCATTAAAAATGTTATAACATCTAGAAATCATGCAAAGTATAGTGATATATCTCTGTCCTTTATCGAACTATACAATAGTTATTATAACGTCCTTTCTATCATATTATCTTTCTCGATAATCAATAAAATTCACACAACAATTTAATTAATAGCTAATTAATTGAAAAAAATTGAGTCTTCTAACAATCATTCAAGAACAAACACATATTGGGCATCAAATTATTTAACTTTTATTTTAAAAAAAACATCATAATAAGTGTTCATCAATACCTTAGTACGTAACGAGAATTCTAGCCCAGCATTTCATAATTACAAGAAAATTATGTTTAAGTGGAAGAACATAACTCAGAATATTGATAAATTAAGAAAATGAAGATGACTTTTAAATATCTTTAATAATTTCTTGATGAATCTCCAATTGGACATTTTCTTCTTTGTCCAGGGATCAAAGTTGAATTTGCAATCTGTAGAAATCTTGTACTTGGCCATTTAATTCTCACAAGAATAATTGAATTCACGCCTCTTTATTGATGATAATTGATGAATAAGGAGTATGAAAGTTGTTTTCAGGTTAAGAAACATGTCCAAAATGGATTTCAGAAGATTTTCAATTAAATAAGCAAAGTTTTCTTCGCGTCTCGCGTGATTATGTCTCCGCACAGTAGTCGGTGTTTTATCGTAACTTTATCTTCCGTTATTCGATTGAGACAATTCAAAATGTGTTTGAAAGACAACTTAAAGGGATACAATTATTATAGAATAGCATTTTCCTAATTCAAATATTTACTATGTCAAAATAGGTACCAATCTCCGAATAAAAATCTGGAACATAACTTATGTGGTTAGAAATTGATTCGTGAAATTTTTTTATTATATTTTACTCCTATTTAACTTCTAATTGCATTCAATTGACCGTAGAAATCTTCAATTATTGTTTTATGATCCGAATCAATTTGAATATTTATAATTTGGTCCCCAAACTTTGGATATTGTCATTTTTCGTTGATTTTCACTCCTTTCTTCCAATTTCATTTCAAACTAATAAATTTTACCCAATAAACGAAATATACAAAAAATAAAACCATAATTAATCTTAAGAACAGGTTTAAATAAGTGTATTATCACATTTCATTGCACACGTATCAGCTGGATAAGTGCACGTATCAAATTTCATTACACGTGTGTCAAGTCAATAATTTTGATAGCCACGAGAGTAGAGAAGTCGCATAACTTTGCAAATCTGAATGGACCAAAGACAAAACAGGGCAACATTCCCCACGAGTGAATCAAGTGAAAAAGACTAGTCCAAAGATGCTAGCAACTTTGTTCCCCTTTTTTTCCAAGTGCAAACACCTTTAAATCGTGGATTTGCTTTTGTTTTGGGACACGCCTACACTACAATTATGTGTACTACTAGATTTAAAAATAAGCTTTAATGCACGACATAATGCCAAAAGCATTATTTTAACCTTTTTCTTTTTTTGGTGGACAGCCAAATTGGAGTTTGCAATAAAATATATTATCTACACTGTTCATATGGCTTCTAAGGCATCATCTAAACAAATAATTGCACAAGCATAAAAATATTTTACTTTGTGGGTCCGTTGAAATTGGAAGAGAATAAATAAAATACTCTATTATTACGATTTTTTTTAAAAAAATCGTAAGAAAGGAATTTGATCTCTATGTCGGAGTCTCGAAAGAAGGAACTTTTTTTGCTTTGATGAAAAATTTATGATTTTTTATTTGTATAGTTAAAATGGATGTGTACCTATTCCAATAATATATAATCAAATATGAATAATTCCCTATTCACTCGTTTTTTTATGAATTCTAGTCAGTATTTACCAACAATAGAATTCTCAAATAGGGGGATATTAGGCCTTCTATGTACATTTGGGTGCAAAACATATCCATTTGCAAATCAAATTTTAGTGCGTGTTTGACAATATAAATAATGTAGAAGTAAGTTTGATCTACTTTAAATCACAATCAAATATACTCTTAGAGACTCTAAATTTTCATAATTAGATCGTAACGAAATGTAATTCTGTTAAAAAAAATCTCACAAATATTTGCAACAATAAGCTTAAAATAAACTTTCTTTTGTTAGGCATCCCCTGTAAAAATTCTGTAGTGAGTCAACAAAATTGAACAAACCGGCATTTCTCAAATGTTGTCAACAATTTTCGTACCCTAGTTCATGAAGTACATAATTTGCTAATCATTTGCTTGCAGCTTCTCAAAACTCTCTGGACTAAGCTTGGCCTGGTTGTCGACGAGAGTTGCCAGCTTTTCTGTCACGATCAAAATAAGTAACCTTTTTCAGTTATAAGGAAATAGTATCACATTTAAACGTATTTGCAAATTAAAAGTTACTTAACCGAACAGCAAAATTAATTATATGGTGTTGTCTAGTCGAACATATCACTTGTATTACGAACTTATTCAGTTTATTTCCTAAGAAAATGATATTTGACCAATAAAAATAGGGTAATAAAGGGGAGAGGGAAAAGGGAACATAAAAGAAAGGCAATATAAAAAGATTAATTAAAAGCTTCAAAAGTGCATAAAACAAAAGAAAAATGTTAAAGAAATAGATTTAGTATCTGTTGAAGAGAGGATAAAGTGAAGAAAGAAAGCTCTTTTTTGCTTTATCTGCACATCTAATTAAGGTGACACAGAAAACTTTGTCTGACACAGCTCCTATGAATTTGGATACACTAGTAATTGGTATGCAATAATACATTTGGAAATAAAAATTAATCAAATACTCAACAATATTGCCATATATTTAGCCCCGGTTTGTCCCCCATTATTTTGCATTTTTTTATGGTTAAAAATTTTTGGAATAGTGATTGATAGCAGAATATCTGACACAGCTTCTATGACTTAATGCATGTTTTGGTCAGAGCTTGGGAAAATTGATGGCACTGGATGCAAGAAAAAAATTCGATTTGTTGATTATTGTACCTAATGGTACATATCAATTATGTAACTAAAATATTGTACGAGGCATTTCAAGTTTTATATTGTGAAATTTATCGATGCTATAGTCCAATTTGAATGAAAATTTTCTCAAAACACAAAGACGTCAATTCGTATAAAAGATAGTTTCCTCCATCAACAATTATCATGAACAGTTCAGGTAGGTGGAGAAGAATTTAATTTTATAAAAGCACACAATAGTTATATAGATGAAAAATAACCCTTCTTTCAACTTTTTAACGTCTTTAAAAGATTTAATCCTCGTTACAAGTTACAACGATACAAAATATTTAATTTTCTCGCTGCATACAAAATTTTTTTATGTCATGAAGAGTGATACACACACATCACACCTTGCATGATTTGTTGCACGTACATACAAACCTAGTACATGAATAATGTTACTTGTACATAATGGAGTTACATAATGATTTAGATACAGATAATATGTCAAAAAGAGAGTGCATAAGTTTTTTTTTTTACTATTATTTTATTTAGTTGAAGAAATTTCAATCATGTTTCAATATCGTGTATATGAATAATTATGTACACGTAGCACAACCGATGTATATATACACGCGTGTGTGTGTGTGTGTGTGTGAATATAGAGAAGAAAGAGAGGAGCACACCTGTTGTGGATGGGGTCAGGTCCATTAGGAACCCTTCTTTTGTTGGTGTAGTTGAGATCTAACTTTGCAAGAACACTGTGCTTTTCAATTCTTATCATTTTCATATGCTTCATAGAGTTTAACTTCATTTTTCTCCCCCGCTTTTCTGATGCATTAACCATAACCAACTGAACAATTCCCAGCAATATAACTACCCTAAACAAAACCTTCAAAAACTTACTAACACTGCCCATATCTCTCTCTAGATCTCTCTCTACTTAATTAGCACCCTATATATGCGTTATTCAGACAAGAAAATACCTTGTAAAAGAGATTAGAGGGAGTTTGGGGAGTAATTAGAGAGCATTCAATGGAGAAAGGGTTATTGAATTTGGCCAGGTGTTTTGTTGCATGGCTACGGTTGTTGGTTTTCTTTATAGAGTGATTTTTATTACTTTCTCGAACTGAGAGAGAGAGAGAGAGAGAGAGGGTTTAGGTGGTTTCGAACTTGACATGGGGGAAAACACCTTGCTTTATAGTTTATACTACTGACATAATGCTCCTCCTATACGACTATGTTCTTTTCTCCCATTTGTGTATTTTCATGCACTTCTGGTCCAACGTGCCTTAGCTCGTGTCAAATGTCGGCTATGCTAGACTGAATTTTAGCCCTTGTTTGAGAATCATTATTTTTCATTCATTCTTATTCTTTTTTTTATGTAATTCTTTCAATCGCACATTCTCTCAATAAAATATTCGTCACGTAAACTCAAAATTTCTTTTTTACTTTTTAATCTCACATTCTCTCAAAACTTATTATTTCAAAATTCTTTCAAACGGAGGCTTAGTGCTTGTTTGGTAGGGATTTTTGGGGGAATAATTGATTTTTGAATAGTGATATGATGGAAAATGTATGGTTGAAAATGAAGAAAAAATTATTGATGTGATGGAAAACATTATTTTATTGGAGAATGTGTGGTTAAAAATGAGTAGAAGAATGAGAATGAAAATTTTAATGTAGCTCAAATAGGGGCTAAGATTCACCATCTCAATAATAATGGCATTTGTTCCCAGTTACTGCTCTTAAGAAAAGGTCAAATGAATATCACCAATGCACAGATATGGTTCCATAATAAACCACTCAAATGAAAATTGTCATGTTATATGTCACCTTGAAAATGCTGTCCAACGGGCTTTGCAGATAATTGTACTCTTGCTTAATATCATTCAATGCCAGGCAACACCTACAAAAATAAATTACAAAGCTGAACGTAACAATTTCCATCAGTATAGATAAAAGAAGAAATTTAAAGATTAATATGCAAGATACTAATTCTTATGCCTTAATTAATATCCCTCTTTTGTGAAAAATATCTTTTACAGTCTTGACAAAATTTCTTTTGAGAGAATATGTTTAGACAAGCATGAACAATAGCAGCTAAGGATGAAATGGATCGAAATTAAAGAAAATGTATTTTTGAAGATAAAATGAAAATATGTTCTTACTTCTCACAAAGATGAGGAAAATCAAGCAAATCCTGACTGAGAATACTAACCAATAACCATGGCAGTTCCTGAAATTCTATCTGTAGTCAGTAATCCCAATGCTTCCAGCGATCCTAGTTAGGATCATAATATATTCTACTGAGTTATAATTCACTCCCTCCATTTGGTACTAGAAGACCTGACTGACTGGTTTGGAATAAAGCTAACTCTTGCCTATAATTTCCATTTCTTCTTATAATAGATAGGCTGCCTCCTTCCCTTCTGAATAATAATATAAGTTTTCAAAGCTTCATCCATTATGGCTGAACCGTCATTTTTTGAACCGTTTCTACCCAACTCACTACCCCTGTTGTTCAGTTCCCATTGGATTTACCATGTTCAAAAAGACAGGAATACAAACATGCATTTCTTGAACAATTTAAGGCCAAGAACAGAAGCAGCATAGCCATGTTCACTGGAGTCAATACTGAGCCTTGAAAAACAAATAACTTCCTGCATTGTCCTCCCAAGATTTTCCGTTCTGCGTGAACTGACCCCACTGGAAATTAAGCCTGTGTTTGGACTTCATTAAAATTATAATTCATTTTTCTCTCTCTTCTTATCAACCACAAATTCTCCAATAAAATAATATTCCACGTAAAACCAAAACTTTTCCTTCTTTTTTAACCACTCATTCTCCAAACAATTACTATTTCAAAATACATTTTTTCCCAAAATCTAATTAAAATGAAGGCCAAACAACCACAAAAAAATGTCGTGGAAAGGATGGGGGAGTTGAACTTTGACCCTTTAAAAAGAATATACTAGTGGCATTAACATAGTGGAGCAGTAGAATAATTGAAAATGACTTTTACATTATGATTTAGCACTGATATTATTTAAATAATTTAAAGAAGAAGAAGAAAGCCCACACTACAAGTTTTAGAAAATATAAAGCCTACCTGTGTAATTATACCCATATGTTCATTTGTATTTGTGCTGCATAATCCTTTTGTGAATAGTATTTGTCAATTTTCTTTGGTTCTTTTGCATGTAATGTATGTAAACTCTTTTTAGAGTGGATTCACAAATCTACCTGATGAACATTATCCTATGCGACTAAGAAGCTACTTCAGGACTAGAAGTCTGATATACCATACAGTTAATGAATCGTAGTTACAACACACAAATCCATGTGATCGTAGAAATTAATGATGATAACCATGGTTGATTAAAGAAGAGAAGAAAATTAAGTCAAATTACTCTCCTAAATCATCTTATCAACACTGACATTGGCCAACCTGTCAGTTGTTGCTAATACTAACTATTTGCATTTTCAATACCATACAAGCCACTATAGACAAAGAATGCTATTTACTCCAGCTACAAAAGTGAAGGTTTTTTTGGCTATTGAGAGAACAGGTACACAAACAATTTCTTCTCTCTCCTCATATTTCTTTTCGAACTTCCTTAACAGAAGTCAGTGTAGTCGTGTTCCCTCTCATCCCAAGCATTAAACACAGTCAAAATTAACGACATTAAACCTAATATGCCAAATATTTTAAGAGTATACCAACCTGTGGCATTTGTTATTTTATAACTTTTAAATTTACAGCAGCAAGGATTTACAAAGTTCTCCCAAGATGACTCTCAAAGTGACAAACATAGTTCTCCAGAGAAAGCAAATAAGCAATTGGAGTTGGAAGCAAGTTATAGGTGTGCTTAAAGATAAAATAAAGCTTTCTTACTGATCTCTGGATTTATCGTCAATAGCCTGGCGCAAATAAGTGCATGCATTTCTCAACCGACAAGCTCCAATGCTGCCAATCACATTCCAGGATATGAACACGATCATTTCAATAGCAAGATAACAGTTATAGGCAAATTCCAGACACATTACAGCAATACTGGACTAGTTCACTAATGCAATCTCCCAGAACTCCAGGTATCTATGGAAAATCAGTGGTGTCAACATACAACTACAGATTTTCTCAGAAGAACTTAAGCTGAAATATGGAGGGATTTAAATATACCCATGCATGAAAATATTATCTCTGCAAAATGTTTTAATCTATCAAAGTAATTCTAGGTCTTAAAATAATGCTTAATGAACAAAAACCAGCCATAATATTACCATGCAGCACTTCCTTTGAGCTTGATACAGTGCACATACATTTGATTGTAGTCCACATGCGATTGATCTCTATTGACAACCAAGAAAAAATTTGATTTCAGAAAATAAAGTTCCCAAGAAAGACATAAAAGTAAAGAAATGCTATTTGATATTGTAATAAGAACTTACATAGCTTTTGCAATTTCCTTCACAACTTTATAAGCATCAGCTAAAAATACATGTATAAGTTCCGCAAAAAAGAACGGACCATTATCCTCCTTCAAAGAATGACAATGCCGAAAATAGTCATCAGCCAAACCCTGCAAGAAGTGAAAATTGATCTTATCGACTGAAAAATTAAATATATCCAATAAATCAAACATTTTGTCTTTGACAAGACAAATGATAAGATACCCACATTAAACTCATTCCAGAACTTGCTGCCTCATTTTTCTAGAATGAGTTAAAAGAAAATTGAAAAATCAATTGGAAAAACTACAAAAACAAACTTCTTTTCCACAAACTTAATTTATGTTTTTGATGCATTTCCTACACAAGCGTGGGATAGGAAATAACCCAAAGAGGAGTTTAAATATTCGCTAAAACAGTGCTTGATAGTTGATACAATTGCCAACAACATATATGTTAAAATGCAATCACGGATAAATATATAAATTGATACAAACGGGTAAACAATTGCATATCAATCAACTATATGTATAAATACACATATGAATGCAATCTCACGTATATACAAATATGAATGTTTTTCTGGATACGCAACCCATATAAATTTACTAACATTTGGTATGATTCCGCCTAATCTAACTTAACAAACCGGAAAAAATAACAATAACTTTTAACTGAATTTCCATTTCTAATTTTCCGTTCTTAAGAATCACTTCAAATGCTGTCAAAACTTAAATCAAACCCAACTAAAACCAAATTCGGGGTTAAAAGTTTCAAATTATATTTAAAAAGAAAAGGTGAATTACTTGCTGTTGGAGTTCACCAATGCGATTAATCAGCAACTGGTTGAGAGATTTTGTATCCATTTTCTTGTAATCCATGGCGCAACAGTCCGACGTGTAACACACAACAAACTATAAATTGTAGGAGTTGTACTGTTTGCATGGAAGGCGGTTCGGCTTAGATGTTGATTGAGGAGTTCCTTCAAAAATGGCGTGAAAAGCGAGAAATAGCATTAGATTTGAAAGAATTTGTTTTCATAGATAGATCATAGATCTTTATCTTCTTTTCAAATTAGTCCAAACTAACACTAGTTTTTTTTTTTTTTGGTCAAATTACTCTCTTTTATTACTTTCTTAAAATACCTATGACATTTTATATTTAAAAATTAACTATATAAGCATATACCCGTTTTATTATTTTTCACTCTACAATTATTCTTTTCAACCATAAGTTTGTGATTAAGGGGTTGTTTGAGACCCATTGTTATCAAAAAATACATTTTGCAACAGAAATGATCTAATGAGCACCATTGTTATCAAAAAATACATTTTGCAACAGAAATGATCTAATGAGCACCGGTGCTCATTAGATCATTTCTGCATTTTGCAATGTTATTATGATGGAGAATATGTGGTTAAAAAATAAAGAAAAATTTCAAATTTACTTGTAATATTTTTTTATTGAATAATGTGTGATTGAAATAGAGTCAAACAGGAGCGAAGCCAGAAAAGGATGTAGCAGGGGAGCTACAATTTATAAAATTTTCAACGAACTCACGTCATA